ACAGCTACCGACACTTTAGTGAAGCAGCGATTGTGTTCCTATTGGTGGCCTTAGCCTGGCACCGAGTTTCCATCCGATCGCCATGGCCTATGGAGCTGCCACGTGGCGCGTTGGCTTCCCTGGGCCAGGATGTGGTGGGCTTCAACCAGGCAGGGGGCTACCCGCGGCCCGCTACGCGTGTTGACCAGGCGCGAACGCCGTCAAAGTTGCAATTTGCTGCACAGTCCAGCTACGGGATCTGATCTAATCAAAGTTCAGAAGGAACTTCCACGATACGGACACCAATTGAAGGTAGTTTTGCGCACAGAGAAGATGAAATAATTAATGCACGCGAGAACAGATGCGGCGCTTTCGCAAGGTCGTGCAGCTTTCGCGGCAGGCGCAGCACGGTCAGGTACAGGTTTCGCCGCGCAAGGTCAACTGCAGATTTCGTGCACACGCAGCGCTTTCGTGGCAGTCGCGATCTAGATAAATAATCAGACAGGGACCTGAACACATAGACAAACAGCAAGACACAACAAAGTTGGTGGTGGATAGGCGGGTAAAGATGTAGAGAAATAGATGGGGAGAAACAGAGAGAGCTAGATAGAAACATAGACAGGCAGATAAACAGATAGATAGAAACAGAAAGATTGGCAGTCAGGCAGACAGACAGAGACAGACAGACAGACAGAGACGGACAGACAGACAGACAGACACACAGACACGCAGACACACAGGCACACAGGCAGACAGGCAGACAGGCAGACAGGCAGATAGGCAAGCAGACAGGTAGACAGATAGATAGACAGCTAGATAGATGGATAGGAGAAAGACAAAAACAGAGCCTGAGTATGCAAAGAAAGAGAGAGAGAGAGAGAGAGAGAGAGAGAAGAGAGAGAGAGAGAGAGAGCGAGAGAGAGAGAGAGAAGAGAGAAGAGAGAGAGAGAGAAGAGAGAGAGAGAGAGAAAGCAAGGTGGGAAATACAGATCACAAAGAGACAGATAGCAAGCAAGAGAATGCAAAAAAGAGGGAAAAGAGAAAGAGCTAGAGAAAGATACATAGGATGAGAAAGAGACAGCGGAAGAGAAAGATAAATAGAAGGAGAAAGAGATAGTGGAAGAGGAAGAGAAAGACACGGACAGAAAGAGAAAGAGCAAGAGCATTACAGTTCTTATATGTATACATGGACTCTCTGCTGGGACTGGATATTGCCCGAAAAGTGCCATTTGACCAAGTGCGGGGCGCAGGTGTCTCGGTGCTGCCATTTTGCGTTTGGTGTCACTGTGGTGTGCAAGTGGTGTCCTGGTGTCGTGGTGGTGTCCCGCTTTCGCTTTGGTGTTTTGGTGGTGTCTTGGTGGTGCCCAGTATTGTCCCCTTGTGTCCCTCTGGCGGCTGGTTGTCTCTGGTGCGTTGGGGATGTTCTGCTGATGCGTTGGTTTTGTTTTTCTACCTGGCTCGTCCTAGATTTAGATTGTTTTGCCCGGCACCCGCACGGCCGCGAGTGGCCGTAAGGCGCGGAAATTACTATTTCCATACCTCAGTGTTCCCTAGATCCGTTCTATTCCGTAACCTTCCGCCCTGTTGAGACCTCGCTGTGCGAATTGCAGCTTTTGGCCAGCATGAGCTCCAGGTGCAGAAGAAGTCAGCTATTTCCTTACCTGGTGCCAGTTCCCTCTCACTCCATTCCATTTTTTTCCGCGACCCTGCCTTTCGAGACCTCGCGTGAGAGAGTTGAGTTGCTGCACATGTGGCCATCATGTGAATGCCGGAAAAGTAGCCCATTACTTCCCTACGACAATTTCTCTCCTCCCACCCGTTCCGCCCATCACAACCTTCGACCTGCTTTGCCATTTTCAATTGGGACATTCGATGCGCGAATGGCGAGCCCCGGTAGGCCTCCCTTACAAACATCCAGGTGGCTAGCATGAGATGCGAAAATCGCCGCCTATGTCAATGCCTCAGTTTCCCACTAAACTCGTTTCGCCCAGCATTATTCTGCCCTTGAGACCTCGTTTGGTATATTTAGTGCGCAGGACAGTCAAGTCAATGCGCATGTGTGGGTGTGTGTGCCAAAAAGGCCCACGAATCGTCAAATCTTTCCCTACCCCAGTTCTTGACTTCTGCCCCGTCACGTACATCCTCTTCGAAGCCTCCTGCGAGCTACCGTTTGTTTGTCCCATTTGCTCCACTTGTTTGTGGTGTTTTGGCGGTGCCCCCGTCATGTCTCGCTGGTGCTAGCTCGCTGGTGTTAGGTGTCCGACCGCGTTTTGGGTGCGGTCCAGTGACGCTTTAGTTTTGTCACGGTCTCGCGTAGTGTCTCGGTGGGGTGCCCTTTTTCCCTGCGCTAGAAGGGGGTCTGGGAAAACACGTCCCATTGATAGGGCGCAGTTTGTTGTTAGGTGGGATGACCAGCATGGTTTGCATTCAGCATGGAGCTTATCGTGCTCAGCTTGTCGACGTTCCTCAAGTGCGCAATGCTCGCCAAGCCCTGGCGCGCCAGGTCCTGGGCAGCTACTGCAAGAGCAGTCTCTGGCAGAATTGCCTTGAGCTTTTGCAGGTCGCTTGGGTGAGACCGCCTAGTCGTTAGGTGTAAAGCGTATTCTTCACACCTCAGCCATTAGTGGGGCGGCTGCATTCAAAAGAGACAATAGTGCATGTCCGTACCAAGGCTTCAGGGGTTCATAGATCCTGAGATCTCGCCACTGATGGGCGGGGGTTCCGCAGATTCCAAGGCTGCGAAGACCTGGCAGCTGCAGCTGAGCGCCGTCACCTATAGCACCTGCGTCAACGCATGCAGCAGAGGCAAGCAATTCCAACGCGCTCTGGAGATTTTTGTGGAGGCGGACGTGACAAATATAGCCCCCTGGCTGATGGCCGTGCTCGCATTCGCCGCGCGTGTTTCTAGCGTGGGCATGGTGCATCACTGGCTTTATTTTCATGGGATGTGGTAACGTGGTACGATTTCGGCAGAAACCAGACAGGTGTTGCCGAGTCTCAGGTCTTGTACAACACAGCCATCTCAACTTCCGTGAGGGCGTTGAACTGGCCACTTGGGCTCAGCTGCTCGGACTCAGGCAGTTGGGAGGCCTGCGATACTTGGGTTCTCAGGTGGGACCCTTGGGATATGTGTTTCTTCTTTTTGCGTCTAGCAGAATTCGACAGCGCGCGCCAGTGGCAAACTTTCAACAGGAGGCTATTTCCTGACTTTGCTATCGCTTACCTGCATACGAGCTTCAACATGTTGGTTTCACTGCTCACTATGTGAGTCTTGATTGACCTTTGCTACCTTCTTTGTGATGTTTCCCGAATTGAGGGCAGCTTCTCAACAGGTCCTGGGGTTGCTTCCATCTGGATCAGCCCAGCCTGGCAAGTCGAATCCAAATGCAAGCTTTTCAGCGAGGATCAGCTGGGTTGTCCATGGCCTGGACACGCCAAACCTGAGACCTGAGGCCTGATCCAAGATGCGCAGCGGCGGCGCCTACGCACGGACGTGGTGACGCTCACAGCAGGCGCTGCGGCAGACGATGGCGGGCACTGGGCGACAGCTGCGCAGCTCTTGGACCAAGCAGTGTTGAGACTAGGCTGAGGCGTTGCGGCATACTTCGGCGATTTCAGGGTGGTAAGACAATGGTTGCACATTCCTGACTTCACCATGTCCAGCCATTGAAAGTGCAGGCTATTTGTGTGATGGCCTTCTAGTTGGCCCTCGTTCCAAGGCATGAGGCACCTTGCAACTTACAAGCATGCTCAGCATGCGTTGGTGCAGTGGTCCTGGCTGTTAAATGCCAATGCCGACTGAGGAGTTGGGTGAAGCCCGACGCCCAGATCCATCATGCCGTCGCAAATACCTGCGCCAAATCAAGTGAATGGATCAACTCCCTCTCCGCTTTAGCAGGGTTGGACGGGCAAGGCTTGCAGAGGACGTGTGTAACATTCAACGTCGCTATGAGTGCAGGCGCATCAAGTTCTGCATGGCTTCATTCGCTGCACCTGGCAAGAACACTTGAGAGCTGCGGCCTGCAGACGGATATTTACGCGCTCAATGCGGCCACGGGCGCCTTCAATGCAGGCCAGCAATGGGAAGCTGCTTTGCGTCAAGTTTACAACATTGCAGGCGTAGGCCGTCCTGATGACATGACATTGACAGCAGCATTGAGCGCGTGCGCCCCCGGCGCTCAGTGGCAGCGCGCCCTGGCGATGCTTTGCGGCGGGCTGGAGTTGGAACCCAACACCTTTGCCTTGAATGCTTGCATTGCGGCATGCTCGGCGGCGCACAGGTGGCAAGAGGCCCTGTTGCTTCTTCAGGTTGATGCGCTTCAGCCTGATGTGGTCACCTTCAACGCGCTGATCAGTGCCTGTGGAAATGCCTTGCAGTGGCAGCGTGCTCTTCATTTGCTTCGAGGCATGCATGTAAGAGGCGGGAGGTTCGCGCATTTGTTCACAACAGGGATTGTGAAAGAAATGAGGGGAGGCTTTGCTTTCCTGACCCTGAACCGAGAAATGCATAAATACCACTTGCGCCTCGTCCCAAGATTGTGTGGCCGACCGGGCATCATTTTTTTACCAACCAAATACCAAGACCAACCACTCTGAGCTCTCTCAGAAATCCTCGCTCGTGTCCCCTGTTACTGCCCGCGGGTTGTGTCCTTGATGTTTGCTTGGACCCCTGAGGCATCCAGACCAACATAGTCTCCTTCAACGCAGCGATGGGCGCTTGCGAGAAAGCCTCTGAGTGGCAGCGTGCCGTCCTGATGTACAATTTGCAAGGACAGGAACTGCAGCCAGATGACACCACGTATTGCAGCATGATCAGCGCACTTGGCCACTTGGCCCCAGGTTGAAAGGACCTGCCTTTTGCGTCAGCTGTCTGAGAACGTTTGGCCAACCTGCGAGTCACATGAGTCGGAGAGGATTGGCAGTCACAGTGTGCTTGTGTCTCCGTGTGAAAGGGCCAGGACTTGTTCTCAAGCAGGGCATGGCTAGCAATCATAGGAGTAGCACGGAGCCTGCCTATTGGGATGCGCCGGGGCCTTTCATGAACGCCTGTCCTTGCCTTGGGCCCTGGGCTTGGCTTCGTTGGTTTCCTTGAGGTCAGGGCTCCCAGTGGCAGCAGGCCCTGGCGGCCCTCCATGCGACGGAGGCCTCGCTGGTTTGCGCCTCCGCGGCCATCGCGGCGTGTGCCACGGGGGCGGCCTGGCAAGTGGCGTTCCTGGAGCTGCTGCGGCTGAGGAGCGGAGAAGGGCGAGCGACGGCGCAAGAACTTGGGACCCATTTGGTGTGGGACATGAGCTCATACAGACCCTGAACTTCAGAAAGTTGTGGCTTGCCGGACCCAAGATGGTGTAAGTACCGCGATGTACTTTGACCCCTCCTTACCCCCCCCCCTTTTCACCCTTTGACCGCAGCTTGGGGCCCCAAAAGCCCTGAGGACCCGCCTGGGTCGCTTCGACCCAGTGGCCCTGACCTCCGCCCTCAGCGCCTGTGAGCGCAGCTCCCAGTGGCAAATGGCGCTGGCGATGCTCTCGGAGATCTCGGATCCACTCGAGGCATCGGAGATGTCTCCGCTGAAATGGGTGCTTTTGTGTTTTGAGGGATGCATTTCCCTGTGTTCACCTCACTTCCTCATTTTAGGAGGTTCTACACTTGGTCGAATGAGGATTGAATCGCGAACTGCAAAGCATCTTGGGGACCCCTTTGTCTTGAGGTGTGTTTTGTCTTGAGGTGTTTTTATAATTTTGGGGGGCCACTCTGAAAAAGGACAAGCCCGGGGATGTTTTTGTTTGAGGGCACCCTCGTCTCAAGCCAAAAGGACAACCACATTTGTTGGCCTCCCCTTATTCCGGCACATCGCCGAGTTTTCAATCTTAAAGCTTGGTGTTGGTAGTTGGCATTGGGGTCTGGAGAACATGAGATGCTGCCCACTAACATGAGTGTTGCTGTGAAATGCTCAACCTGTGCGCTTGGCAGCTGATGATGCACAAACAACTAGACACTAGCCAGCTGATCCGAGAAGTTATTAACAGTCAATCCAAGGTTCCCTCCCCCAAAGGCGACAGGTTGGATTTTCCATTCAGGATGGCACGATGAAGTCTGCAAACTTGCGATGTTTGTGCAAAGCTGCTGGACCATCCTTGGTAAGAGCCAACAAGTTTCGCATGAGGGCGGGTTCCAGTTTGTTCAAGGACGCATGAACGTGCATGTGTGAGAGATAGTGTGCGAGAGTGATTGTATCTTCTGTTGTGCTCTCTCGCTCTTTCTCTCTCTCTCTCTTTCTCTCTCTCTCTCTCTCTTTCTCTCTCTCTCTCTCTCTTTGTTTCAGTTCTTGTGCTGAGTGAGCTGATGTCCGCGAGGCGGAAGTTACAGCCTTCAACGCGGCCATGAGCGCCAGGCACTCAGCCGACCCTTTGGAGCACAGCACTTACATGAACGCAGTTCAAAAATGAACATTTGCTGTATATGACATTTTTTGGCAAAGAAAATGCTTTATATATATTTTCTGAGTATGCCAAACAAAGTAGCTTGGAGCATGGTAACCCCGCATCCCGCGTTCGGCCTGAGGCCTGCGCCCAGGCTTCCGAGTGGCGCAGCGCAGTGGGGTTGCTGCGAGAGGTGGAAGCTCGGCGCCTGGCGCCCGACAACTACTCCTTCAACTCGGCGCTTTGGCGGCAAGTCCCCGAGTCGTCGCATCGATGGGCGGTGTGGCTGGTGGTCATGCGATGGACTGTGAAATGTTGCAGGCTGCGTGGTTTTTGAGATGGGCTCTATTTGGTTGTGCGTGCATTGAGGGAGGGTAGTTTTTTAAGAAGCCTTGCTCGTCAAGCTTGTAGTATAGGCGCATTTCTCGGACCAAGCTTTAAAACAAGTTTCCTGGACTTGCAAACACCAAATGGATCTCTGGTTTAACAAGGTTGGAAGCTAGGTATTGTGGCGGTCTAGTTGCTCCAGGCATTTCTGCGGATGTGGCACGGTTTTTGTCGGTGGTATGCTGTGAGCACCTGTGATGTTGATGTGGTGCTCGTGGCCAAGCACGTCCACTCAGCGCCTTGGCTGCATGCAGTGTGCAGTGTAGTTGCAGCGTTGCAGGAAAGCAGCTAGGTGACTGGAGCCATCATGGTGTACTTAGGGGGGGAATGAGCCGTCCTTTGTTGGCATCGACTTGCTGCACCTCGTGCACACAAACACAAACACCCAAGCACCCAGCGCACCGGACAAACTTTCGCATGCTTCGAATGGAGTCCATGCAGCTTCGCACTTTGAATTTGTGCCTCGAGCTGAGGTGCTTCCTTTCTTTGGCCTTGTCTTGAAGGCCATGCAGCTATCTCGCGTTCTTGCGCAGGCCCCCCAACCACGTTTGCATTCTGGGCTGCTTCTCTGAGCTTTCCACGCTCATTCCCCGGCTGTGTCTCGTCTTTTCTCGCCTTTATTTTCCTATCCTTGCTCTTTCTGCATTATTATGTTTGTTTATTTGGGATCCCTTGCTGCTGCTTTCCCGTGGTTTTTCTCTCTTGCTTTCTCCAGCTCTTATTTGGCTTCTCGCATTTGTCTTCGCTGTGTTCCTTCCACTCCTTTCCACGCTCTGCCCTCCCAGCTGTTGGCCAGTCTCCCTGTTCGCCCTTCCTAGGGCTGCAAACTTCAAGGCGGCGCAACCCATCCGCGCAATCCCACATCACGGAAACCTATTTCCAAGTTCGGACTTGTACAGGGCAGCGGTTGCATATTCTTCGTTCTTCCAACTTCCTCTTTGGGTGAAGACCGTTTTGATAATGCTTTGGCCATTGTCCTTCAAGTGCCAATTAGGACGACTACAAGCTCAGCAGCTCTCAAGTGCCAACTAGGGCTGCGCAGCAGTTGAAAGAACGTAGCTTGATAGAGTATGAGTCTTGTCCAAGATGGCCTTGTGCTTTGATGAAGCAATGACGCATCCTTCCTTGCCACGTTTGCTTTGCCAGCGTACCCCAGCTTTATGAACTGCATGTCAAGGATGGGCGTCCATTGTTGCAGAACAAATGGCTTGGTTAGACCCTTTGGACGGCCTTGCGCAGATCAAATGAGCAAACAACGTTGCGTGCCATTGTGGCCCAAGTCCACAGCTTTTGTCTAGCAAGGGTCGCAAGGGCCACAAGGCCGTTGCACGCTGACTGGAGTTCCCTTGTCTGTCAGGTCTTTTGGGCAGCAAGCAGCGGCTGTGCGGGAATCGCACCTGCTGTGGGGCAGGACTGGCGCGTTCCAAAGCCTGTCTAGCCACGCCTCATTCCACATGGGCGCGTCTCAAAAAAAGCCGCCCCTAAAATTGGTAGTTTCCCAGTTTTCTCTTTCATGCCCCTGAAAAAACCAACCCGAAAGGGGATACGCTCGGGAAAGAAAAACACGTGTGTGTTTCAGCTTTCAACCTTAGTTGCACAATTTATCCAGGGCTGCTTCTCACCTTCCACGCAGCCCCCTTCCCTGTCTTCTCCTGTTTCAATCTTTAAGACCTTCTTTGCAGCCTGCCCATCAATGTTGCTTCCAGTTGTCTTTCAAAATCCCCTCTTAATTTGGTGGTTTGGATTGGTGGTTTTTGGAGTTGAACCCCTGGTTCCTGTAGGGGTAAAGGGGAAACACAATGACCAAACCGCCAATCCAAACCACCGTAGAGGGGAGCTGATTGTATGCAGGTTGCTTGTTATCATCTCTTGTGGCTGCTTGCTGCAAATTGCTCAGATGTTAGCTGCCTCGACTTTGGCGCAGTATTTTCCTGCTGAAGCTATCCGGCTTTTGCATGCTTCTTGTCATAGGAAGGAGTATTACTGCCCTTTTTGCTCATCTCATCCCGCACCGAGGGCAGCTCCCGCAGCTCTGCCGTTTGCTGGCCAATCGGTATTCTGTCGTTGTTTTGTGCCATCTCTGTTGGTTTTCTGCCAGATTGGCACTGAGAGGCTCTCCCTGCCCTGCTTTACCCCAAGCTGATGCATGGGTAAAAGCATAGCCCCAGAGTTTGTCCTTGTGTTCAACTCTCGTTATGGCCATCCTCCGTGGATTTGTCCCAAGACATCCGTGTTTCCAGACCGGCTGCTTAGATTTAAAGAAGCTACTTGCGGCCATGCATGCCCATGACTTGGTGCGAACTGGCAAAACACATCATTTTCCTAAGGGAAGACATTGACTTTTTATCGTTGCATTGTTCGGTCCAGGATGTGGAAGCAGCTGCCGTTGCTGCACTCGCAGCAATGCCGCTACTGGCCTAGCTTCAGGACGGGCTTCTGGGGGCTGGGGGCAGATAGGCCACATGTCTAGTTTTTAAACAAGGCCTGGACGGCAGCGTTTGAAGTTCTTCCCTGTTTCAAATCATCGAGTTAGAGCCGATGGTTGCATTGGAGATGGCCGGCCGTGGGCTGGCAACACAGCAATTTCGTGTGATCGAGATATCAACTTGATGTCCAGTGGTTTCAAATTGAAGAGTTATGTGCTTGCTTCAAGAGTGTCTCCCTGTTCTGACTGGAGTCTTTGCTGACGAACACTCATAGCCGGAGAACTTGCAGCCCAAATATTCTCTCTGGCATCCGCTATTAGGATCTCAATCGGTCCGGGCAATCAAACACATCAAACACCTGAACAAACAAAAAAACTGAACAAACCAACGTGTCCAAAAAGTCAAAACAAGAGCGGCTGAATGCCCGAGCAGGCGCCTGGTTGCACCTGTGGTATCCAAAACCCCGGGCAAACATGTCGAAGCCATTGCCCTTCAAGCAAGGCTAACTGGCTGAAGACATGCTGCTGATGCTGCTCAATAGAATTCTTGCCAACACGGATGGAAAACCTATGACTCTATTATATGCACAGCTAGGCAGCGGAGTTTAGCGGTATTTCCCCGGAGCCTGCAGGCCCAAGAACACTTTTTCTGTACAGGCCCCTCGGGCCTACCTTGAGGATGACTCGCCCAGCCATGGGCGCTGCCGGAAGAAAGGGCGGTGCTGCGATGGGGAGGCCGCTTCGCTTGGGTGAGTTCGAGTTGGTAGCGGAGCAGGTTGCTCCAGGAGGACCTGCTTGCAGCAGCAGATGCAACAGCATCGCCAAGTTGGCAAGCTGTTGCTGCCGCTGCAGTATGATGAGATGGTGCTTTTGCAGCTGCATCTATGTGGTGATGCTGCTGCTGGCAATGAGCCTGATGACGGAGATCATCCACCTGGCCAAGGAGGATGAACTGCACGACGTGCAGATGCCCAACGTCACCCACGACCTGGAGCCCGCCAAGGTGCTGGACGGCGAGACCGTCCCGACAGCTTTGGCCATGCCTTCAGCCGAAGACGTGGCCGACTACTGGGAGGTCTCATTCAGCCAACAAGGTGTGAGACCATGCCGCATTCATGTGCGGCTGCGGACGGAGTTCTTCCTCCCGAGCGAGGGGGGGCCAATCCCGCCAGGCATCGCGGTGCACGAGCTGGAAGATGAGAGGACCACTCATGTTGTTCCCCGACATGAAGCTCGACGCATCGTGGTGGATAACTGGCGGCTGGATGAGCGCAGGGTCATGCCCTACACCTGGACGGGCATGACATGCTTCTGGGTTCGCCGGAGGCCCAACCGAGAGATTGCGGAGGAGGACCAACAGGTCGAGGTGGACGACGAGGGCAACGTCGAGAATTCGGAGTCTGAGGAGCGCACCGCGGATCAGCTGGTGCCATCGAGCGGTTCTGCAGGACCATGCACGCGGTCGAGATCGAGATCGCGAACACGGAGCAGGACACGGCGGCTTCATGGAGAACCAGATGGGTGGCAGCAGAAGCTACGATGGTTCTGGCCGCTGCACTGTGGTGTCCTCGTGCTCAGTATGGTGGTCTGCATGCAGAATGTGTTTCGCCCGCGTGAAGGTGGACGACACGGACCTCACGGACCTAGGAGCTTTTGCTCCCGTGGGGGATGCCGGTCCCGTTTGTGGGTACGGCTACGCTCAAGGTGCCACCAGCCTGGAGCGTGGAACGCAATCACCACTACTCCTTCAGGAGCTGGGTGAGCGACCTCGTTCTCTGGAGGCGCCACGGAGATCGACCCCAGGAGGCAGGGCCCGGTGGCAGCATTGCAAGTGCAAACCTCGGCCAAGGAGCTCGTGAGGGAGATCGCGCCACAACAGCTCCGAGACGGAGACGTAGATCAACTCACTGGTCAACACCTCACGGGCCTCATGCTGCTGGTCACGGTACTTGCTCGGAGGTACGCGCCCCTGGATGCCGAGAACAGTACCAAGGCCATCAGCGAGTTTCTGGGCTTCAGGCGGATGCCTGGAGAGACAGTGGACGGTGTCTTGGTCCGCTACGAGGTCTTGCGCATCAGAGCAACCCAGCAGGGTGGCTTCAACATGGGGCACAGTGGACTGTCATGGCTGTTGCTCCAAGCGCTGCAGATCAGCCCAGACGGATGGGAACGGCTCCTTGCTCCACTTCACGGTGCCCTTCCACAAGATGAAGGCCAGTTCAATGCCCTGATTGGGAGAGTGAGGAGATCAGGCCATGTGCGAGAAGGGCGATATCAACATCAGCAGGGAGCAGCTGGAGCCAATGGTGACCCCAGCAACTACCTGGCATACCCTACGTTTGATGGACCTCCTGACACAGGCGGAGCCAATGATCCTTGGCTGCCCGGAGGAGGCAGTGGTCCGTGGGGCAGCTGCAGGACAACCG